CGCCTGCTTCCAACAGCTTGGCCACCAGCTGGCTGTGACCCTTCAGAGAGGCCCAGTGTAAGGCGGTGCGGTGAAGCTGGGGGTGCAGAGAAGGGCGATCAGGCAGAGGGAATAAATACAGTGTCGTTCCCCTCTCCCCACCGCACCCCCAGAAGGCTCCCCATTGGTCCTGCCCCCAGGCCTTGCCCTCCTAGTCCCAAGGCTCCGCCCATAAAGCAGGAAAGCCCAGGCGTGTCCGGGGCCAGGATCACAGGGCACCGAAGACAGTGCCGCACCCAGCCCAGGACTGCAGCCCCGTGCAGCCCGCGCCTCAGACCTTGTCGTGGGCGCTGGGGTCGCCTCCGTCGCTCAGGAACTTGTCAACCACGGCCTCCTGGTCCTCGGCGGCTGATCCGTTCTTTATGCGTTTTTTCGGTTCTCTTTGGTCCATTAAATGTTCTGGGCATTTTCCTCTTTTCGGATACATATTTGCTCCCATTCTGCAGGCTGGCTTTTTATTTTCTTAACTCTCTGTTGATGCGTGAAAGTTTTAAAGATGTTTATGAAATCCAATTCACCTAGATTTTTCACTTGTGTAGTTGTGAGACTCCTTTGCTAAATACACGGCCCTCCAGATTTCCCCGTGTGATCTCACGGCACCATTAACAGCCCCCGCTCCTGCTTACCTGTGAGGTGGGCGGCGGAGACAGGCAGCCCTGGGCTCCCTGTGAGTCAGAATCAACGCAGTGCATTGCTTTGGGCGTGAGGTGAGGTCACCTCTCACTGTGGTTAAATCGTATTTTCATAACGGCTGATGGTAATGGACTTCTTTTCATGGCTTATGTGCCACCTGTCTGTTTTCTGGTGAGATGCCTGCTCCTATCTTTTGCCATTTTTTAACTACAGTATTGAGAGTTCCTTATGTACTCTAGACACTGGCCTTGGGTCGGATTTCTGGTTTGCAGACACTTCTCCCAGCCTGTCGCCTGTCTGTCTCTGAACAGGCTCATTTTCAGAACTCAGGTGTGGCTGTTGAGGACCTCTAGCTGATCACGTTTTCTGAGTAGGCTTCGTGGTTACTGGTTTCAGAGCCAAGGACTCATTGCCTAGTCCAAGACCCCACCTCTCCGCCTGCCTAGGCCAGCATGGTTCACAGGCGTGGAGCGAGACAAAGCCCTGGGCCTATGCAGAGAAGAGGGCGGGGGGGAGACATCGGACAGTATAACTTATAACAAAACTATAATAATTTATGAATTATGAAGGGTTCATGAGGGAGGGGGGAAATGAGCAGCCGATATTAAGGGCTAATGCAGAAGGCAAATGTTTTAAGAATGATGAGGGCAACAAATATACATATGTACTTGACATAATGGATGGATGGATGGTGATAAGAATTGTACGATCCCCCCCAATAAAATGATTTTTTAAAAAGCATCCTTTGTTTTTAAGACAACCTAGTGATTCTGAGACGTATTCATCAGAGAACTTGTCTGTGGCCATCCACCGGTCACAGAGATGTAGTTAAACATGTTTCGTCTGGAATACTGCGCATGTGTGAACTAGGACCTTAGTAGCAATACTCTCATACGCTAAATTCGCTATTCCGACCATGTTCATGTTCACAAGGTTGTGCCATTACCATTACTACAGTTTCCGAAAACTTTTGCAAGACTTCAAAATCTGTGCCCCTTCAGCAGTCCTTCTGCCTCCCATGCCCCATGGTAACTGCTCATCTGCATCTCCATGCAGAGCATCTAGCTGGAACCACACAGCATTTGCCCCGTTGCGCCTGGCTTATTTCACCTGGTAAGTTCTTGAGGGTCATCCATAGGGTAGGGTATATTAGAACCGGCTGGATATGCAGAGCTGTGTCCCGTGTGTGGGTGTGCTTGGGATCAGCGTTTTTCTCTCGCGCGCGCACGCACGCTTCTCTGGCAGTCTCTGGGCACATGTCAGTACTCACTGCCAGGCTTTCCCATTGCCGAGTCACCGTACGTGGTGTGGATGGACCCTCGGTGTCACCGCCGAAGGGCATCTGGTTGGGCCCAGGCTCACACAAATAAAGCTGCGATGACCCTTCGTGGACAGGGTCTTTGTGCGGCAGTTTTCATGTCTCAAGGA